ATCCGAACCGGGGCCCTCTGGCATCCCAAGCGAGTTCCTAACCATCTCGCCACTCGACCAGCCCCCTTGAGATCTTTTTTAATGGAGGCGTTTACTGCTACAATTTTTCTTCTGAACATGGCTTTCACTGTATCCCATTTATTTATTTATTTATTATTGGGGAATTGAGGGAGGGAAACAGTGTTGGGGAATTAGGGAAGAGGAACAGCCAAGTTGTTGTCCTTCAATCTTAGTTATGGAGGGCGCAGCTAGCTCAACTCCAAGTCCAGTCGCCATTCGGCTGCCCATCGACAGCTCGTGGTTGCTCAGCTCAAGGTGTCGTGTCCAATCTTAGTTGTGGGTGGGTGTAGCCCACCATCCCATGGGGGAGTTGAACTGGCAACCTTGTTGTTAGGAGCATGTGCTCTCACCAGCTTAGCTGTCTTGCCACCTGTTGGCAGCTCAGTGACAGCTCAGCTGGGGCGCAGTTCACTGGCCCATATGGGGATCGAACTGGCGATCCTGTTGCTCAGAGCTTGAATTCTTAACCAACTGAGCTACTCGGCTGTCCCACACATTACATCTTTATACATTTTGTACTCATTAACATATTGATATTTTATACACTTACCTTTTAAATCAAGTAGTAAATACATAATAAAAAGAGGCATTACAAACAAAAAGCATAACACTACTGGATTTTATATTTACTTATGTAGTTACTCTTTGTATGTCTTCAAATTACTGTCAAGTGTCCTTTCATTTCTGCCCAAAGGACTCCTTTTGGCTGTTGTAGGGCAGGTCTGCCAGCAAGCAACTTCCTTGCCTTTTGTTCATCTTGGAATGCCTCAACTTCTCTTTCATTTTTTGAAGGATACTGCAGGCTGGAAAAGTGAGGGATCCTGGCGTGGTCAGGACCACTATGTGTAGCCTCTGCATAAAAGCTACTTTTAAGAAAGCAGAGCCAAAACTCAATGCAGGTGTCTTGGAAGCTTTGAGTGAAATCTGGGTCCACCCAAGGCTAAAGCTAGTGAAACCTCTGCAGGAGTCAAGTACAGTAAGTCCCCAACTTACGAACATTCGAGTTGCGAACAAATCGCAGTAGCTCACGTGTCTGCTGGACATTGTCACAGTTGTGCTGCTGTGTGCTTACTGTACAGTGCTCAATCAGAGCCCAGGATGTTTATTTACAGTACTTTTGTGTGTGTTTAGGTTTTTTTATGCTTTACATTGTATATTTGTGTCAAAGGTGTATAAGACTCACTTTGTCAGACTTACGAATGAATCTGACTTATGTTCTCGCGGAACGGAAATCGTTCGTAAGTCAGGGACTTACTGTACTTATTCTCCCACTCTGCCCTCTTAGGCTACTTTTGAGTTAGGTTCTTGCTCCTTGAACATAGAGTCCTGACTAACATACACTCTTTCCCTATTTCCTTCTGTCAATTTCCTGTCCATCCAGGCAGTGTCCATGTACCTTGGCCGTGTTCACTGGAGGCCTGCCCAGTACTGCCTGTCTGTGCAGCTTTGAGTTTCTCAACATTATCTTCACCACGGTCCCACTTCTCTATCCTCCTCACACCTTTTGTCCTTTATAATCCCCCCCCCCCCCCGTCTCCTGACAGTAGTCTTCCAATTCCTTCTCCTCACGTTTCTCCCATCTCATACTCATTCCCTGCTCTTCCATCTGCTCTGTTTACAAAGCTCGGGAAGACAGGGCCCACCGGCCTGCAGCCTGCAGCCTGAAGCAGGAGAAAGCCATGGGCCCCTTCTGTTGATACTGGCATAGGGTCCACAAGAGAGGGGACACTAAAAAGGATAACTCCTACAAGGATGATTACTGGGAATGATGAAGCCTAGTCCACAAAGTCCCCTGGGTCTGGCACCCCTCCCTGTGAACAGGTTTCACGTTCCCTCATTCCAGACAATTCAAATCCTTAACCCAACATGAAGGTATACATGGCCCAAGAACTAACTGGCTTTAATTAAAATGTAACCCCAACTCTGAGGTAAAACAAACACAAGCCCTACTTCAACCTGGTCCTGGATCCTTGTCAGCCTTTCTAGGACACTTCTCTGGGCTCTAATCACAGCATCATCCCCACATGCAAGTTCTACTGGCTTTAGAACCCACCCTAGACTCCCCAGGTTATACTTAAGAGCATTCAAGTCCTCCACCAGCTCTCAAAGGCTTCCCTCCTCCCAGGAACTGTCTCTGAGCACTAGTCTTTCCTTCCCCATGTAGTCTGCCCATCAGCTCCTCCCTCAGCTTTTCAAACTCACTCCCATGAGCCCTAGCCCTTTCTCTAAAATAAACCACTCCTGTCGCTCCAAGGCTGATCATCTTAAGAGAGCTCAGGTCCTTCCCAAGTCAAACTGCTCCCTGAACCTTCTCAGGACTCTACTCTGGGTCCTGGTTCCTTCATCAGGACAAGTCCACTCACATCCCTTAAGCATCACCTCCCTGTCCCTGTGGTGGGACCTCCAGGATTTGGTAGTAGTCCAGTCTGCTGTCCCAGTTCTTTCCTAACAAGTCATGTTTGAATATGCAAAAAACAGACCAGCTCATATGCAATTTTAATTTTAACCATTCTGGTGAGCGTCTAGTGACATCACCTGGTGGTTTTACTTTGCATTTCCTTGATGAGAAGTGATGTTGAACACATTTTCACTTACTTACTAGCCATTTGGTAATCTTCTTAAGTGCTTATTCAAGTCCTCCCCTCTATTCTTTAATTGATATGTTTTATTACTGACTTGTTGAAGTATCCTTTATATTTTCTGTGTGAGTCCTTTGTCAGGTGTATGTAGAGTAAATATCTTCTCCCAGCCTGCTTCTTGCCTTTTCACTACCTTCCTTGTATCACTGATGAACAGAATTTTGTACTTTTGATGAAGTTCAACTTATTAACCTTATTTTATGTTTAGTCTCATGTACCAAGAAACACTGTCAGCCCCAAGGTTTTGAAAATAATCACCTATATTTTCTCCTAGAAGTTTCATAGTCTTTCCTAAACTCACTGCACCCACAGGGGGTCTTCTTGTAATAATTCACAAATAGCAACAACAATGGTAATGATAAAAACAACAGCTAATGTTTATTGAGCTTATACAATATTCCAGATACACTTTCAAGTTTACATGTACCAAGCTCATTTAATTACCACAATAGATGTATTAGGTAGGTGTGGTTACCCATCTCCATTTCACAAATACTACACAGGGGTAAGAGCTAATTTGCCCAGTGTCTCACAGGGAGTAAAGAGGTGGCATGGTGATGATAACCAGTAGGGTATGTACCATCATGGAAGGCTTTTGCACGTTACATTAGCAGAGTTATTCCCTAGAATGAATCTGAAATGTGACAGAGATCGAAAGGTACAAGAAAGCTTCTATGCATCCATTTAATTAACCCATTCAGTAAAAAAGAGTCTACACTGAGTATGTTGTAATCGTTAAGAAAAAATAATTTCTCCAGTCTTCAAATTTGCCTCTAGCATGACTATTCTCTAAGGAGAAGAGTGACCAGTGAAGGCTTTGTTATGCTAAATTGTATCACGAATTTTTCTCCTGTCGTGGAAGAAATGAATGCTGTATAGGTGCCTTCAAATAGTCTTTGTAGTCAAAAGGTTTTCAACAGTGTGCATTCTGATGTTCTCTAAGGTGGTTTGCATGGTTACATGCCTTTCCACATTCCTTACACTCATGGGGTTTCTCACTGGTATGAATTTTCTGGTGCTGCGTAAGTTGATGGCCGTGACTAAAGGCTTTCCCACATTCTTTACACCCATAGGGTTTCTCCCCTGTATGAATTCTCTCATGTTTAACAAGGCTTGACCCATAAATAAAGGCCTTTCCGCATTCCTTACATTTATAAGGTGTTTCACCAGTGTGAATTCTCTCATGTTGAGTAAGGTGATAGCCACAATTAAAGGCTTTCCCACATTCTGTGCATTTATATGGCTTCTCACCTGTATGAATTCTCTCGTGTTTAACAAGGCTTGAACCCCAACGAAAGGCCTTCCCACATTCCTTACATTCATGAGGTTTCTCACCAGTATGAATTTTCTGATGTTGAGTAAGGTAATTGACACGAGTAAAGGCCTTCCCACATTCTTGACATTCATAGGGCTTCTCACCAGTATGAATTCTTTTATGTTGAACGAGGCTCGAACCACAGATAAAGGCCTTTCCACAGTCTTTACATTCATAGGGCTTATCACCACTATGAATTCTCTTGTGTTGAATTAGTTTATACACACGGCTAAAGGTCTTCCCACAGTCTTTGCATTCATAGTCTTTCTCACCAGTGTGAAACCTCTGATGTTGAGTGAGCTCATCACCACGTCTAAAGGCCTTCCCACAGTCTTTACACTCGTAGGGTTTCTCGCCCGTATGAATTCTCCTATGAATAACGAGGCTTGAACCCCATCGAAAGGCTTTCCCACAGTCCTTACATTCGTAAGGTTTCTCACCAGTGTGAATTTTCTGATGTTGAGTAAGTTG